CTGTTTTAAATACATTTCATGAGCTACTTTGTGCTCTCTTTTGTCAGTTTCTTTTTTTTTTTTTCATTTGAAAAAACTCTTCCAGATGGACTCTGCTGTGATGCTTTGTAATGTGAAGGCTCTTGTGTACTCTCAGCCTTGCTGCCTTGGTCACCCAAAATGCATTGGGTGCCTCAGTAGAGGCTGTTCCAGGTTTTGCAACCATTCAGACAAAGAAAGAAGGGCTGGAGTCTGTGATTTCACGAACTTTCTAATCTCGGTATTCCATCAGTGATCACTGAAGGAAAGATGAGGCTGAGCACTGTATTTCCTTCTCAGGGTAACAGATGGAGAATAAAATGTATTGTTGTGTTCAGGTTTTCATGTGTGAAGTTGGGAATGGGAGCAAGTATTTTATCTCAGTGAAAAGGCAGGTGAGAATAGAAATAAGTATTGTAATCAGAAGAAGAGATGCTGAGACATGGCTTTTCACTTTATAAATCTGGATAAATGACATGTTAAGTTCCATATTATTGAAATGCCTTAGTGAGAACTTCATATCAAAATTTTATTAAAATGACTGTGTATGCCCAGATTTTAGATTTGATTCTCATTGACTGGAGGGGAGATGTTGACTAGAGATGATGAAAAGCAATGTATGTGAAAATAATGATTAACCAATATCCTTTTAGTGTGAGAAATGTGTAAGATCAGTAGAAAAAGGATGTCTGATTGTCCCCTCCCTCAATTTTGTGCAAAGTGAAATATCTGACATTTTCTTTGGTTTAGTTTTCACAAATAAGAACTAAGTGTAACAGTTAATATATAACACTATTGATAAATATACATGTACCTTTAAACAAGAGAATGAAGGGAATGGTTAAGTCGATGATTCCCAAACTGTGGTCTACAGCCCATATGCACAGCCATAGCTAGCATTAGCAGTTCTGAGCTTCCCATCTATATAGACTGGTAGTCTGTGAGAAAATCCGACATTCAAACCAGTTTGAAAGCTTCTGTGTTAAAAGTCAGATACTCAAATGAATGAAGTTAATTCATTCAACTACTAGCTGAACTGATCAGTGACTCACTGACAGCTGCCATTAAGAACTTATGAGGACTTCTACAGTCCTGAAGATCTGGAAGAGAGTAAGCTTTTAGTTCACTTTTTTCTACAAATAGAGGTGTCAGCTTATGCTGATACAGAGTAATGAAATTTATTTATGAATCAGTGTTTGGGTACCAAACAGATGCTAAGGTGGTCATTAGCTTTTTGTTTGATATGGTACTTTGCAAAAAGGATCATAACTTATAAAGAAAAAAAGCTTCAGTTGCAGTCCATATGACTGTGGCCAGATAATAGGAAAAAAAATTCCAGCTAAAAGTTAGTTTGGAAAATTCTTCCTATGGCTTCTATGGTTTTAAGAGCATGTATGCGGACATATATGCTTGGCGTAGTTTAGCTGCGTTTACCTTGCCACATAACAGAGAACGGGAGTAGGTCTCCTGTGGGGAACCTCTCAGCACTGCATTTTTCTGCTTGTTGCAAAACTGTTTTTCTTCCTTGAGGAAAATTAGTAGGGAGAACAAAACCAGAAGCTTGCTTTGAAGGTTTTGAAGGCTTTTTGACTTTACTGGTAACTAGAGCCATATGCATAAAAAGAGAATAATTATTCTCCTGAGAATGTAAGCTGGACTGCTGTTCATTTTACATCAACACCAGCTTCTGTACTTGTTTTACTCAAGATGAATGACTGAATTCCCATTGCCTTCGGTAGTGTTGCTTGGAAGTGTTAGGTCTGGTCTTTGGCTTGCATCTCTGTATGTGTTTATGTATGTGTGAGGTGTTATTTACCTATAGTCTAGGTGTCTAAAAAGCATATGCAGGAACATCATACTAGGGAAATTGTCAGTAAATCACAGAAAAATCGCTGTTCTCTTTTAGAAGAGATGTTGTATCACTTGTTTGAAAAGGGCAACAGCAGAATCAGCTTAGTTTTCAAAACTTGGTTTTGTATTTGTTAAGAGAAAATGCTTTTACTTTTTTATTTCTTTCTTCTTTCCCCTCCCTCTCATAATTCTGACCATTACCAGGATTCCTTCTACATATATTGTTGATGCTTCAAGGAGTTGGAAGCTCCATTACGGAAAACAGCAGCGACCTATAAGGAAAGACTGAAGTAATAGGGGTTGCTTCATGACATAGGTTGCTGGGGAGAGTTACAAGATGTCTTTAAGCACTGCTGCATAGAAAAAAGGAGTATAGGAGTATACTTTTACTGATTTCCATGATTCTAGGACCAGCAGTGGTGGCTTTATACTTATGCAAGAGTAATAGAGACAAGACATCAGCAAAAAAGAATAAAGCAAGGCAAATGAAGAATTAAAACAGATCTCCAAGACAGAGTGCAGAATCTTAGGAGCTGGAGACACTTAAAACCAAGTTGAGACATCCTCTTCCCCCAAGACAGATAGATCGTGTGCACTTTGTGTAACAGCTGTGTGCTGATATCATAATACAGAATAAGGACAGAATACTCCAACAGCTTTGCTTCTTTGTTTGGCTTTTGTTTTTAAGATTAATAAACAACACATCAGACAGCAGTAGTTAAATAAGTAACCTGCATTACTTGTACAAAAAGTTATATAATTACAAGTTTACCATTTTGTTTTCTTTTTAGAGAAGGAAAGAATCCTTTCATAAAATATCCAGCAATCCTTATCTTACTGAGATGCTGCCAAGACACAATTCAGAGGACATACATGTGAAATTAAATCCACACTGTGCAGAGACAACACAATGGTCTCTCCAGATCTGATCCTTCATGTTTATCCTGTGCAGTTGCACAGCTACTGTTCAACATGTGATCAACTGAATATGTTTTGCTATTAAAGAAATGGAAATACTTCCCCGTACTGCTTTTTGTGAGCTACTGTGCTAGAGATATCCACCACATTGTCATCATCATGATTGTTATTATTATTATTGTTATTGTCCTTCATTCCATGCATAACTATCATTTCACAAGTTAAAAACATCATCCCTCCCTCATGTCATAGTTTATAAAGCACTCTGTGCACAGTGAAGCAGATCCCCAATTAAATGCAAGTGATATTAAAATTAAGAGAAATACACTATTACTGTTGATTTTAGAGGAACAAAATTCTGGGGAAATTTAAAAAAAAACTAAAATAGTTTTTTCTGGACAAAATAATGTACAATTATTAATATTGCACTTTTTATACAAGAAATCCTAATAAATATACAGAAAAGATATGCATTTACATACATAGAATGACATTCTTCTTTTTTTAAATAAAAGTTACACTGATGCTTAGCAACACTATTTCTTGAAGACCCATTTGTAGTAAGATCATTCACTGTCAGATGTGTTTTGAAGTAACCCGACTCACGACAGTTTAATGTCATGAGCCTGGCACTGACCTCCAAAGTGGACTCCCAGTTTTCCTGAAAAAAAAAAAGTGTTGTGGAAGCTGTATCACAGCAGTGCTTGAACAGCTTTTCATTAACGTACCACAAGGCATGAGCCCCACTGGGGGTGACAGGAGAGGCACAGCCAAGTCTTTAATTTAGAGATGGTCTTGAACCAAAGCCTTAGATCCAGATAGCTCACCTTTAAAGTTTCACAATGCTCAAACCTCCTGCTTCGCAGATTTCCTCTAATTTTAGGGTTCTGTTATGAGCAGAGCAGAGAATGCCCAGGAACTAAAACCATGAAGCACTTCACTGGCTGAGTAACCACTGCAGCTGGCCGGGGGAAAGACTCATAGATAGCATGCAAAGTCATGCTGTGGGTATGATGTCTGAGCCTCACTTTTTATCTTCACATTGTATCTTCAGGGTGTTATATATGGGCTTAAAAATGTGCTGCTTTATAGCACCTTTTTTGTTGTGAGAGGCAGCTGGAGAGGAGCAAGTTTGTTAAAATTTATTGGCATTAGTCCTCTGGGGCTGTTGCCAAATCCATTCTGTTTCTACTGAGTAGGAATAACCACAAGAAATCAGAATACAGCGCTTTTCTACTAGTTATCCAAAAGGTTTGGCTGCCAGGAGGAAGAAATGTCACGTTACCGGCATAGGAAAACTCACTTCCTCAAGTTCCTTTCCAAAACCTCAGGTCTGAAAGCACCTGAACTCTGGGAACTGTTACTCCTCTCTTTTCCAAATAAGTGTTAGTAGGATGCAGTATGCAAAATAGCTCCTGTTACCACAGACAATTTCTATCTTTCCTGCCTGTGCTCACTACAGGACAGCATTTGCATACATTTGTACTACAGTCTGTCAATAGCAGGTCATACTTTCTCTCCTTCTCCTGGAAAATAATTAACATCATCACCTCACCTCTGTGCTGAGGGCAACCTTCCTATCCCCAATCCTTCCTCACGAGCACAACCTGGGAACATTTTCAGGAGTGTTTTAGACTCGCTCACATTACACACCATTGTTAACTTCCCCAGACACCAGATCCTCAAAGATCATGAGGATCTTCCACCGAAATAATTTGAAGGCCTGGCATGAAAAGGAGAGAGGGGTTTAGAAATTAAAAAAGGAATTCAATCTTGGATGTAACAAATAGGTTTATAAAGCAAAATCATATGCTTATGTTTTCAAAGTAGTCTAAGACTGCTGAAGCATCTGCATGCTGCATAGCTGAATGTTTAGTTTAACCTTTTTACTTTTCTCCAGTACCCCATGACCCATCAAGTGGTTTGATTATTTGTTTCATATTGTGGTGGTCCAATGTGATGCTAGGTTTTTACTCTGATTCACTTCCCCATCTATGTGTTTTGGTGTATCCCCAGGCACGTGCATGGATTATGGAGCAGCCCCACTCTTCTCAGGCCCATTGCTAGTGGTGTGGGGCTCACTGACTCTTTGCGGTCTACCCTCATGACCGTGTTTTGCTGCATTCTTGTTTCTTGTCTCCCAGATTCATAGAAGGGAAATGTTGCCACGTCCCTTTACAACAATGATTTGGTAAAAGGTTTTCTTTTTCTTTTTTGAAAGGGAAATAAATAAATAAAATGAAAAAAAGAATTCCATTCCATTTATATTTTCTGTAAAAGTCCTTGCCTTAGTGAATCAAAGGCTGCAATCCCCTTGTTCCTCCGTTTTCACTGCTTTTGTCTTCAAGCTTTTCCACAAGTCCCACAGCATCGTGACTTGAACTGGGTGAGCTGGCAGAGTTTGAGCTGCTTCACTTTCTCACAGTACCTTGTGGTGTCTCTGCACTCCACTGCCAAAGGGCAAACAAAAAAGAGAAATGAATGAAGCAATGAAAGTGGTGAAGCAATGAAAGAAGGATTTCTTAGTTAAGAATGTTTCTGGTGGTGGCCAAGAGGGGAGCCAAGACAGCTTTGTGTTGGGAGGTCTTACTGAACATGAGCTTGACTTGCTGCAAAGACTTAGCAGGGACTTCAGGCACCCAAAGCCTGGTATCATTTGGACAGTCTTTGAGGCCCACAGCCTCCTGCATTTGAGCTCCAGATTGGAAAACTGTCAGGTATCCCTGCAAAACCTTGGGTGTGTTGTTGCTTGAGGGAGTCCCACTTTCCATGATAAGTCTGGAAAGGAGGATCATCACAGGGCAGTTGTCCTGCCCTCTCTGGTAATGTCTGTGCCAAATAACTCCACTGTTGTCTATATGTGGGACATTTCTATATAGCAGGAAGAGGCTGGAGTGACAACAAAGGTCTTGCTTGGTATCTGTAAGCTCCCTCAGCCCTTCCATTTCCAACAGGGCACCCCAAACTCAGCTCACGTGTTTCGGATTTATGGAGTCTGCTTTGCCTCTACTGAGAGCTGGCATGACTGTAGGCAAGTGCAGGTGGGTTCTGCTGCTGATTCTGTGACAATTGCACAGTAACCAGCCTGCATGCTAGAGCATGGGATCTGCCCACCAGAATCAGCATGTGAAGTGGGAGCTGGGGCAAATGAAAAGACGGTGATTTAAACTTGTGCTGCCCAGTGTTTCCCAAGTGGACATTGCCATAGTAGGGCATCATTTCCAAAGAGGCACATCATCTGTTCTTTTTTATTTTTTTAAATACTTGGAAATTTTCTAGTCCTTTGGCAGGCCCAATTAGTTGCTTTTCACCTGAAAGCAGGCAGCCTCCACTCCAGGAATTCCCATCATCAACCTACCCACTGGATTTAGTCTTACTGTATTTTAACTATAGCCAGTCAGTTCGTGATTTGTATTTTTCTTTCTGTCTTTACCATTAACAGAAAGTTAAGACTGCATCAGCCATTTCACACACTGTTAGCAAGAGGATGCAATCCCAGTGCTAACACCATTGCCAACAAACCACAATGGGCACCATTCCTTGCTGGACTGCTGAGTTTTGGACACTGCATTTTGCACATGTTCAGGCTGGAAGTTCCCCAGGACGCCCAGCTGCAAGGTCCGGTGCCGTTTTTCTGAGAGGTGACTCTGCCTTCTTTCCTACCCCTGTGCCGCAGTACCTCCCTTCATCTCAGCAAAGTACCGTTTTCACAGGGTGTGATGTTGCAGCGCTGCCAGTTCGCTGGCCGCGGCCTCCAGGAGCAGTGATGCTCCAGCACAGGCTTGTTGGTGCGGACATGGACGCAGTCCACACGCCGGGACTGGAAGCCGTAGTTTCCACATGTAGCCGTGCAGACGGTCCACAGGCTGACTCTCCAGTGCACGCCGCAGACATCGGTCCAGCAGTTCTGGGTGCTCAACGGCCTGCAGGCAGGAGGGAGGGAGGGGTGACCTGTCATCATGCTGCCCAGGGAGCAAGCACACGCCACTCCAGGTGTCATGGAAGCTCTGGGGACAGCAAGCCTTGCATATCCCAAACATAATTTGCTCAGAGCGAGCACCATATAAATCAGGTCTTCAAAGGGTGTAAGTGGGGGTAACTCCAGTGCACTGACAGGCAGTTTGTAACTGCGCTCAAGAACCAGACTCTCAGCAGTTGCACGCTGGTATAGCGCTACTGGAGTTAAATGACCATTTCAACTATTTGAGGATTTGGCCAAAATGTCCTCTCCATGAATCATAGAATCATAGAATGGTTTGGTTGGAAGGGACCTTAAAGACCATCTAGTTTCACCCCCCCTGCCATGGGCAGAGACACCTTCCACAAGACCAGGTTGCTCAAAGCCAAACCAGAGGTCCACTGAAAAGGTGCAATGAATGAAGTAGTGACCAATAAGACCCAGCAGGGCCTTGGAACTTTTTAATGGCTTTACAGCCAGTGGGAACAAAACTGATTCTCTGAAACTCTCCTTTTCCCTTCAATGCAGGCTCACAGAAGATACACAGGCACACTTGGTTCCCACCTCTTTGTCACACAGATGATGAAAATACATGAGAGAGCGCCAAAGAGCCAATTATATTCATTTTCAGTCACGATCAGGCATCATTTACATACCTAAGTCTCATGTAAAGTAAATATCTCTTTACAATGTTGACAGTGGAGTTTATCTGCCAGAAAACAAAAGCTGTGGAGTCCCTTTTTTTCTCCAGTTAGAGCTTGTGTTTAAATAAGAGAGAAGGAGACTGGCAGCTTAAGAACGGGTAGGACAGCCTTTCAGTCAGGACTTGGCAAGCCTAGAAAACTTTCCAGTTGTTGGTCAACTATTTTTTTCTGGGGCTCATAGGAACAAATACTGAAGCCTGGGCTTAAGCCTGGTGACATTTGTACCATGTAGTTGTATGGGTTGCAGCATGACCTCTTTGTTACAAAGGGGAAACCTAAACATTGTCAGTTAAGTCACTAGTCCATTCATCATCTCTGCAAAGTGTAGTGCTTTCAGACATAAGAGATTCCTGTCCTACCTTGGTAAGGCACTACATTGATCAGATGACACAGAAGTCCCATCTTTGGTTTGGCAAAATATCTGCCTGTGCTGTACAGCCAGTCGTGGTCCAATGCAAGGCCCGTTACACTGTGAACATAGAAAAATCACTTAAGGGAGGGAAAAAGCAGGACATGTTCCCCTTTTATAAGACTGCTGGTGAAATAAAGTGCATACTGCCGTGCAGTGACTGTTGGACTTTCAAGCACTTCCTGCATCTTTGCAGGCTTTGAAGGCTGAGCATGCAGTCATCTTCTGCCCTACCTCACGCTCCTCCAGCAGCATTAAAACTGCATTTCTGTATCTGCTCTGTAGATTCGTTACCTTTCCTCTTCAACAGTTCAATCTTAAATACATCTGTTTGTTAGGGCAAAGAAAATGCTCTTGTGTCATTAGCCAAGAGCCTATGATCCACACAGGAAATCTCAATACATTCCTTTTACTGTGCATTTTGCAGCTTCTACTATCACAATTTATGGGCAAATAGTTTATGCCCAAGAATGCATTGAATGAGGAACATATTCCACCCCATTTAATAACTTAAAAGCAGCGCACAACAATAAACAAAAGCAGCAAGCATGACAAACACCGCAGATCTTCAAGCTTGCTCCAATACTGAGGTTATCCCACCCTATTCAAGCTTATCAATCACATGCTTATTGTTTAATTCTTCTAATCCTCTCCTTTGATTAAATTGTAATTAACTATATGTATGAAGCATGTATTTGTGTTCTTTTAAAATTTTGCCAACTGTCAGGAAAAAATTTGTTTTTCTAAGTGTCTGGAAATTATATTCAAGAACAAACTGAGGGCTGAAGAAAGAGATCTTAGTGTGAGGGAAGAATTTGGAATTTTTGCCAGGGAGGGCTCCAGATCCCTCTGCCTCTCCATCCCCCCATCAGTAGGAGCCCTATTTCACACTACCATGCACTCTTCACATAATACTCCCTTCCCGCTGCTATTTCTTCCCTCCCTGACAACTGGGAGAGAGAAGCAGTGACTACCAGTCATATGTTCCTAACTGTAGTTAGATAATGGTCTTCTGGGTTGGAGACTGAGCTATATAGAATCATGTGGGACTTGATTTTCTTTTTTTAAGCTAGGTAGGAGAAATATTAAGTTATTATTAATTTTAGTATTAACTAAGTCTGGACTATAGTGAACCCATTAACCTTCACATACGGCTCAGTCAAGCTGAAGCAGAGAGAAAAGAGAGGAAAGCACATAGTCATGACTGGTCACAGGTTATAATTGACCACATATTGACAAGTGTCTTTTCAGGAAATCTCATAGCTCACAGAGAGACAAAGATAAAACTCTTCTGTAGATTCCCACAATAAAGCAATTTAACTCTAAATGCTTGGAACATTTGGTATTTATGAAGTGAAGTTTTTTTAACATGTGATCATTATATGAAGCTGCAAGGAGAAAATTTGAAGATCTGCAAAACAGCATGAAGTAGTCTGAAAATACTTTTAGCCCTCCATTCTGCTTTTTGTCATGAAGCAAATCAAGAAAGCTCCCACTACTTGGCATTCTCAGGCAACGTCAGCAACTTTGTAAAACTGGGTTACTGTACAGCCCTGCCACCCCAAACCTATCACAATCACCAATCCTGCCAGCCAAAACTGAAACACACTCACTGGGTGGTAAGGGGGATTAAGACTTGGAGAAGGCTATTTCCCAGATGTGTCACCTGTTATTATCAGGAGGAGCTGCAGACCTTTCTACTGGGGACAATACAGGGGTCTGCAGTAAAAGTCCTGTTCACAAGCAGCATTTCTAAGGATCATGGGAAGCTACAGAAATTCAAGCATGCAGTGCCTCAAATACGGAATTGAAAGAGCTGAGCAAATTAGTTGCCTCTTCAAAAGCTTGCAGACTATGACCTAAAGATACCAGGGCGCAAAATCACTCCTCTCGTTTTCTGTCACTTTTTTCTAGCCCACACTATGAGGCTGTCATTGGTCTGCTGGCTTGTTCCTTACCTGGCCCCAGGAGGAGACCACCCACTCAACACAGGGCTGCCTATTACAGTTCTGTGTGTCCACGGGGCGCTTGGAGACCTGGGCACAAGCCTCATTCGACACTGGGACAGAGCTGCCTTTTGCTGTCAGGCGCTGACAAGTCACTCGCCTCATCTGGATGCCTCCACCACAGCTTTGTGTGCAAGGAGACCATGATGTTACCATCCATCTGTGAGGGAAAAATGAACAGGTCAGGGAGCAGATACGTGCCATCATCTGCAGGATCATTGGTGTCAACATCTCTTTATGTATTGGGCCAAAGAAAGGCAACAATGGCTTGGTTCATTTAGGGTGTGATCCTGGAAGGCGCTGAGTGCCTCAGCCTCCCATAGTAGTCACTGAAAACTGCTCAGAGGATGAAAGCTGAGAAAGGAGCATATTTTTAATTAAATTATCTTTCTCAAGGCTCTTTGGGCCCAGAATTCATTTTCTAGCCCTTAAGGCTGTTTTTAGTGGTTTAGTAAATATTTCTAGCTCAGGGGTTGGGCATGGATGTTCTTACACTTCTGTGCCAGAGGCCTTGGTCACAAGCTACAGTCACCACACCAGCTATGACTAGCCCATTTACACCCCTTAGTAGGGAAAACTATCTCTGCAAGGTTGCTGAAGTAGCTCACAGGCCACTTTGAACCTGCTGCTGACAGAACAGCCAAAAGTCTGCTGGGTCCTGCTGGTATTTGCCTGCTCTGTTATGTTCCTGACTGCTGGTATAATCCCGAAAAGCTTGAAGGTTGCTTGGGAATGGGGCTGATGCACAGTCAGTCCTGGGACAAAGGACACCTTTCCTTCCTCCTGAGCTCAGACCATGCATTTGCCAGTTGAGGCTGAGGCTCTGAACCCCTATGTGCTGGGGGTAAACTAGTAAACTAGTAAAAAGCCTGTAACAACAGAAAATAATAGTCCAAGTCCAAACTGTGACCAAGATGGACAACACATATTGTCTCTTTAAGGATCATTAAGTGAAACATTTGAACAGTCGGGTTTGGGAAAGAGGTAGGTAGGAACAGGAAGGATGCGACCGATTACTAGTTTCCTAAAGAGTTTTATGGTCAAGTCAGCAGTTTGCTTCATTAAGTTTCAGGATACTTGGCAGGATTTGTGTGTTATTGGGAGGAAAATAGTGCCTATCATGTCCCTCACCAGCAGTATTTATGATTACTTTGCAAAATAGGCAATAGGCATTCTCCAGTCCCATCGAGAGGTGTCCATTGCTATTTCTCAGTCTTCTGTAGGTGATTAACTCCCATGGTCACAGAAACAAGTATATAAACAAACACACTCCCAACATGGAAAACAAAACCACTGCTACTTTTTTCATGCAGTTTGGTGAGGTTGAATCTGAAATTTCTGCACCCCTCATAAAGCTCTGCTCTGCATTTCAGTCAACTTTTATTTCAAAGCTTACATCTCAGCAGTTTCTCAGGACCTCAGGGAGGATTGTGGGTTGTGCTACAGTTTAGGAAAGGTGTAAAAAGACATAAACCATTCCCGTGGAATTCACTCCATCACCAAGGAAAACTGCTGCTAACAAGTGTGTTTCATATTTCATCAAATCTCTTTTGGTTTCCTTCTTAGGACTCAGCTGGCAACTCAGAAAACATTTGCCTGCAAAGAGGGCTAGGAATATATTTTAAAAGGTAATTAAACAGAACCTTGCTATATACTCAAGATACTGCAAGAGTGGTAGATCTGGTCACTTCTGATCAGATTGCTTAGCACCTCTCCTTGCCTTAGTTTAGACTTTCTTTTTTAATACAAGTCCCAAATCACTGTTGAATGAGAGAAGTTTTACTAAATTTCTCTTGAGATCCTGACTGCTTTTAAGTACTTGTACACTGAAACACACCATGTCCACAGTGGAAATAAGGGAGAGGAGGGACTAAAAACCTAGAAAAATACGGAAAAGCATGTTTACACATCTCAGCTAAGGAGCCACTGAATTGCAGAAGTAGGGCATTGGAGGACATGGAGGGAGGGAGGGAGTATAACGCTACACTGACTTTCTGGGTAGACACTCAGGATGTATTCTTTGCACCAAAGGGTGTCAGTGAAATAAAATGTTTTTTTGGGGGAAGGAAGCAGCAGAGGAAGACCTAAGTGTAGTCAGAAGTCTTGCAAGCTGTCCTGGCTCCATTGTGTTTAGCAGTAACTGAAAAACAGGGGATTACAGGGGCAGAGAGTTACAATCCCAAGGAAACCACAAGCTAGCAATCTCCAAAAGGAGGCAGAACTCAGCCTGACCACCCTTCATACCAACTAGGTCTGATGGGATGTGTCTGTTTTAGAAAAGACGTTTCTACTCTGCTAAGGGAATTCTTTGCAGCTTCAGCTACACTCCTGCCCATATCGATGTTCAGGTGACACAGGAACTCAGAATAGAACCGCGAAATAGCTGCCAAACCTAGCTTCTTGTCTGTTACATTGTTAGGATAAACTGGTATGAAGCCACTTGGAACACAAAAAAGATATTGCCCTACAGTTCTCAGGTGACTGAACTCCCATATGTACAGAGCTTAGAACGGGCATGCTATTTACATCCAGCATAGGGTTAGGCTGGATTCACCTGAGACAACTCAAACTGTGAACTTTGCTAATAAAGAGTAGGCAATAGCCTCTCTATAATTTTCTAACCTAATTACTGAAGGAATAAACTCTCTTTCTACCATATGCTGGCAATGTGTTCCACAAATCTTGCTACAAATTCACAACTGTCTATATTAAGCAGTTATAAATTCCCTTTTAGCCATGACTTTCCTCCAGACAGGCACCAGAGAGTCTGCAATGGCATGATGTCCAGTGCAAAAAACTCTTCAAGCAGATCTTAAAAGCATCTATGAGATCTCAACATGAGACAGACAAACCGTGAAGGGCAGTCTCTCCTGTTGCAGGCCATGGGCTGCAGGGCTGGCTTGGGCTTCTCTTTGCAGTGGGTTATGTTGACTTCGGCCCCATCCAGTAAGCACCTCAGCTGGGGCAGCTGCACCCCTTTGTGGCCGCAGGAAGCTGAACAAGCCATCAGTTTGTCCGCTGACCACTGGTATTCTGCCAAAAAGTGTGGGAGAGACACGTTAACACTCAAAAACTGCAGCAGGAGGCCCATAGAAAAGAAAGACTCAGAAATGTTCTCCAGGATGAAATATTTGGACTCAGTATCTCATGTAAAGGGGAGCTACCTATGCCTGCAAGGCAGTAGGCAATGAACAGAGAAGGAAGAGAATTCTAGCTGATGTAAGCCACCGACTGTCTTTGGTGTAACAAACCCAATTTTTTGATGCTTAGAAGCATCAGGCATGGAAAGTGAATGATACAGTAGAACAGTTAAGTGAAGCTGGATGTCAGTGATGCAGGACATTGTATCTATATTTTTAAAGGGGTGTGATTTAGTGAAGATGTGGTTAACTGCAGTTACCAGCAGTATTTATGATTCTATGATCTTGTAACAATGTGTTTCTCACTAAGTAGATCATACAGATCATCCATCCTGAAGAAGAATGGGGGAGTTGCAACACACTTTAAAATTTTAGGGCAAAATTAGGAAAAGTTAAATTCTTCGCCACTCCATCCCTGACAATTGGAACAATGAAAGCTGCATATTCTGTTCCAACCCGTCTGCACTGCTCTGTTCTGTGGCTTTATCACCTTCAGCTTATTTCTAGGGTAAATATAACAGTTGCAGCATTTTTACAAGTGAAGAGTTTTCAAGTCAGAAGAGACTGTGTGTCCTGGTTTGCCTGAAGCAGGACCATTTCTCCTTTCAGTGGATTTTTTTTCCTTCAGTTAAGTTTTCTTTGTAACTGCCCTGTCTGGAGCTGACTGCAGGTTTCAGGCAGTGCCTGCTGTCAGAGCTGATGGCGGTTGATGTCTGTAGCTGTTGCTGGGGCAGGAGCAGGATTGTTCTGCAGAAAGGCCCACGGGTGTGTGCGTGTTCCCTGCGGGCTGTCTTGGGCTCCGTGTGGGGGGAAGGCAGAGGAGAGGTCGGACCCCCAGGAAGCTGCAGAGGGGACAGGTGACCAGGGACTGACCAATGCAGTATTCCATCCCACCCACGGGAATACTCCGTATAAATCTCGGGGATCACGGGAGTCAGCACTCTCTTCTGATATCCTGGTGGGACCCTGCTTGCTCTCTTGCCTCCAACCGCGATCCGTGCATCCCTCAATCCGGTTCCTGTCTGCTGAGGAGTCCAGTCCGGGATGTCCAGGTGCCCACCCTGCTGTGTGAGCACTGCATGCGGTCCCGCAGTCATCACCAGGAAGGGCAGTATGGGTTTTGTATATTGCTATTTCTATTATTAGTAGTATTAGCTTTAATATTATTTATACTCTTTTTCATTGTTATTGCTTTATTAGAGTTGTTTTAAGTTTCCAGCCCGCCAGTCTCTCTCCCTTTTCTCCTCTCCTTCCCCTTCTGGGAAAGGCCAGGGTCAAGAGAGAGCATCTGCCACCCACCATAAGTGCCGGCCCAGCCTTAAACGGTGACAGTGTGAAACACTGACTTTAGCAGATTAACAGAGGGGCTTCTAATTTTAGGGGTTCAAACTGTGACACTTTTGTCTTGAATTTCTGGACAAGAAAATTGTCCAGACTTAACAAGCATAGGTATAGCTTGAATCAGTCAGGTGTGTTTTATGTTCAGAAAAGAAATATCAGATGTCATTTTGGTAAAGTAAAACCTAAGACACTGTAAGATACTTGGTAGTCCTGCAAATCTATATCCATGGCAGTAAAACATCAAAACATCTATTCCCCGATGCACATGACAGTCCTGGCTTCAGAGAGGAGAAATGCAGGATGAGAAAGGCGGTGCAGGGAAGTCCATGGCAAGAGCTTCACAGGGCAGCAGGACTGAAACTGGAAAGTTACCTTGTATAGTCAGGGATGCTTTTTGTGTAAGCGAGCCAGCCTCGTTCTGAGCAAGGCAGCTGAATTCACCATCAGGAGCATCACTGACATTGAGTATCTGAAGAATCCGTCCCGCTGCCAAGAGATGATGCTGCAGACTGAGAGGCTCACCAGAGTAAAACCAAGTGATGTTCGGGGTTGGATGACCATCCACAGCACAACCTAAAAAGCATGGACGTGAAAGAAACCTACTGAATACTGAACTTACTGCAAAATTACATGCTTTGAAGTGGTCAAAATTAGGGGAAAAAGTCAATTCCATACCGTTTTCTCCTCTTTTTCTCATAATGAAAAATAGGAATACTGTGGTAATTAATATCTTCTCATCAGATCAAAAAAATACTATCCAAAAGCCAGTTAATCAGCCATATGGAAATCTCAGATCAGTTTGGAAATATTTATATAAAGCTTTCTAAGGTTCCCATTATTGTGGATCATCCTCATTTTAGTATTGATAAAAGTGGAATAGGGAGATTACACACGTAGCATAAGATCAAGGAGGATGCTGGAACAAGCAGTACAAACAGAACTTGGTCTCCAAATCTTCTATTTAAACCACAGTGCCAGCTTCCTCTCTTTCTTTTTAATACTAAAAACCAGAAGTTTTTTTTATACAAAAGTTTAGACAAAATTCTTGCTACACAGAAAACTCGAAAAAACAAAGAGAGAAAATCGAACCTTTAGAGTCGTTTAGTCACAGCAATGGGCAATTCTCTAAGCAACAACCAACCAAAACCAGCAACAGAAAAAACCCTGTTCTTCTGAAGCTTTGTATGGGTATGTCTATGGATCATCAGCACAGCTGATGAGGTTTAGGTTCACAGGGAGTTCTTCATCTGTTGAGCTGAGGGACAGTATCTGCAAGATACTATTTCCTGTGGTCCTCATAGTAGCGGCACACTGCCAGTTTCATGATTAATTGCAGACGATTTGTAAGACTTGTGTATCCTGGGAAAGATAACTAAGTTGCCTTACATATTTCCTGGGGAAAAAGAAAGAACTAGGGAATTTCCGTGGTGCAACCTGTCTACATCAATTGCAGGGGTGGGGAGCCAGAAAAGCCATGTGCAAGGGATGTCATATATTACTTGGACTACTTGTGGCTTAGGCTAGTCCTACACTTCCATGCATCTCACTGATACATTAAAGGTCTGGCTAAGTTTCTGTGAATACAATCTGTACTGACTGGTAGTTTGTTATACTGCAGCTTTACCCTGTTTTATTTATATTAGTATGTACGTGTAACAAATTACTTTATTGTATACAAAACCTCTTCTGAAAAAAGTGTACTATATAAACAAACATAACATAGAGGCATGAACGTTCACACTAGCACTGCTCAAAAGGAATGGGATAAAAAAAGGAAGAGTACACATTTAAAATACTAAAAGATGGAGGACTGTTCTAAGATTAAGGAATAATTCCATCAGCAGATATTTCTTTATTGCCAACTCCATGTCATTTGATTATTATCTATTATTCACAGAGACAAATAAGGATGTGGGTATGATGCCTTTGTAGCTATATTACACAGTGAACAGGCACTGCAATGTGACATTGTTGTTACTGTTCTTTTCATTCTTGTCTGTCCACCTGAGGGGATTCTCAGCTAACATACACTGAGCAAGTACTCTTCCCATGAGAGAGGTAAGATGACTGACACTGCAAGAATAAAAATACCATTTTCATTAATCTACCCAGGAAGGCTGAACAGTTTGATTTCTGACCATCATCAAGACCAAATCCTTGAGACTTGACAAGCACATTACTTTGTTTAGGAACCCTTGCTACCCTTCTTTTGACTTTGGTCATACCTCTAAACTAACTCTAGGGACTGGGCTACTGTAATATTTACTTGTCTGCCTTTTGCCAGTAATCATACCTCCAGTTACACTATTCCTATGGCAGAAGATGCTGCCTTGCCCACACGATTTGAAGCTTTCTTGCTCATACAAAGCAGAACTCATACAAGACGGAAAAAGCTAGTGATGACCCTTGGCACATCCCGTCCACTTTCATGCTGAGAGGTAGATCCAGGCACTGGGGAGAACCCATCTGCTACTCTGTGTGAAACAGATATTACAGAGAGCAAGGGCTCCCCGGCAGAAGGTGAGTGACACACACAATAGGTTGTGCAGTTGCGGTGACAATGTTTCACTGGCAAAGAACTAGTTAATGCAGCTAAATATTAATAAAGAAGGAAAAAAGGGGAAAAAATGCAGAATGAGAGAGTGTACACTGCCCACAGTGGTCTCCCCTCTTCCCTTCTCCCACTTTTATTTAAAAAAAGAGTCTTTGCTATTTGTTTTAATTTCCTTGGCAAAGTCTAATGCAGTTTTACCCTTGGCAGTTCTCCCCCCAGTGCTCACTTCCTGACCACAAAGATACAGCTTGCTTTGCCGCTCAGTCCTTTTTCCTGTTTTTGTAAGCTCTCTGTTTATTCCCGCTGTGCTTCATTTTGGTTATTCCTTTTGTTCTGAGTACTGATGTGTTTTTTTCTACTTTTGTGCTGAAAAACAACTCATCCAATTTCCAAGATACTTATTCTCAAAATGAGTGACATGAAAGTTTTCAGCCTCACAAGTTTAAGGCTGTCTGATTTAAAACCAATAGAAAACAAAGGCATATACAGGAAATGGACAAACATAACAATAAGTGGCCATATGAGTTTTGCCTACAGTATTCTAATTTTTTATAGTTTGCTTGTTTTCTGAGATAACTGCAGAGATCTCCACAGGTCAGCATATAGCCATGACAACTGACAAAAGAAATGCTGTAAGCTCTGTTTTACTGTTTGCAAATGCAAACAGTCTGCACAGGATAAATGAAGAAAGCAGAAAGATCAGTTTGATGTTAAACACAGAAGAACATCGATTCTGTGATTCTGTGAACTGATATTGACTTCAATGGGTAAATCGTCCTAGTTTGTGCCTTTTTTTCTTTAAAAATTTTATTGTCAGGCAAAACAATATAGTCTTCCTAGTACTTACTGTTTTACTTGCCTTATGTATTATTTCATCTTCCAAAATTTATATATAAAATATTACCTAAAGGAACAGCCACTAATTAATAATATGGGGGAAAACCCCCAAACACTATTCCCTAAATATGTTCTGCCAGTGAGTAATTATTACTTTTTTTAACATTTAACAATCAAACTTTACTAACACCTATGAGACTCACATGTAATGGATACTCTTCATTTGTGTATGCAGAACAAGCATCAATCACATTTCATAAGTGACATTTCCTATACGTTTCCCATGTGTATGGATGCATAAACTGTGGGATAATGTTTTATGCATATTAAGTGAGAACTAGAGTACAATAAAAAACCAATGTTCCATTAATATCCCCTTCTCATCTCCCAGGAATAATTTTAATACCATTTAATGCAGATTACCAACACCTATTCTCTATTTCCTCCCATCCCTGTGGACATTGACTACTTTATCCTTCCAAAGGTCAACACCTGTCCCTATAAAGCCTGAGAATGAAAAACTGGCTTTGTTTCCAGACAGTGCAGCTATTACAGAGCTTTAGTGCATCAGAACCGTTGGGAAGGCAAGGAGGGAACATTTTTTGGGGGACTGTTTCTAAGCAGTGAAAGCTCTGGCAGGAAAGGGTCCTTCTCCTTCAGTCCTTCTTAAGTAGACAAAGAAAATAGTGCCTTCAGCGTCCCTTCCAAAGTCTACTGTGACTCTGAATTCATTCAAAACCAGTATAAGTCACGAATGTGCAAAAGCTGGAGATACAAACAAAAATCTAACACAAATAACATCTTTTAGTAGGGAAAATGTTAATATTTCAAGGATAACAAGGGTGTATTTGGAAACGGAAGACCCATGATTCACAACAGTGCTAATAATTTCTTGAGAGGAAAGAATAAATACATAGTGCAGGTCAAATTCAGCTCCCCTTTGTATCTCTGTAATACTTTCTGTATGACTATAGCTGCAGAAAGACTCTGGGCTACTGTGCTAATGCTAAGAGAATAAAATATAAAGCATGCATCACTCATTCACTTGCAGACTTGAGTGACAGAAAAAAGCGCAAAGGCTGTTGATTTTAGGATTCGGTTTTTTAGCAGCCTGATACCTTAAATTACTGGAACTGTATGGAAAACAATGGTGAAAATATCAAAAAAATTTTGCAAGTCCTAAATACAGTGTGTAATACAAGTAAAAAAAAATACAGCATTGCCTTTAAAAACACATCTAATCTTAAAATATATATTATTTTCATACATTCATCTTTGTCTAACAAATAGCTCTCTAATTTACTATTGACCTGCTGATTAATCCCAGGCAATATTTCCAATATTTATTAAAGATGGAATATGCGTGAAGTCTTGAGGTCAAGATGAGGGAGTTGCTTTGAATTTTCTTTATACAAAGTAATCCTACAGTCTGAGGTCAACAAAATACTTTCCAACTGCAGCCCTGAAGCTGCTGTGCCATGGGAGGTAAGCTTACCTTTTCTATTCTTGCAGCTAACCAAGGCACATGAAGGTGCATGCTGTTTTACCTGTGGCCAAGCTGCGTGCCACCAGCAGAGCTGGAAATCAAACTCTTGCACCTTAGTCTCAGGCCAACACCGTCATCTTTGGAAATTATTTCCTATTTAAGAGATAGGTCTGGGTAGTATAGCCCGGATATAAACACACACTGTAGTATGCAGTTTGGATCCATTGATATTAATGTTCAATTACATGCTTGTAGTTCAGTTTTATACCTTTACTATTCACCAGTGAACACTGCTTGCAAAATATGCAAATGTTTGTGATGCATTAGTTCAAAATACTTTGAATCAACAAAAAAAAAGAAAAAGCTAAATTTGAAAAGAAGTAAGCATCCCAACTGGTTAGGAACTGCATGTTTCATGACATGACAAAATACAACAAATACTGCACAGAAAGTTCACAGAAAACTTCGGTTAGACTTACAAACCAGAGGACCTATGCCCCTCCCTCTGCAAGTCAAAGATATGTACCTATCCAAACATAAAATTGGGAGATGAAAGACGATTGCTGACTACTATCTGAAATGCCTGGCAAAGGAGGAAAGAAGGGATTTGGCAGCAGAATTATTAAAAATATTAAAACTGAAATAAAGCAAGGTTAAAAAAAAAAAATCTGTGATTCTGTATATATTTTACTTGAC